GGATTGAAAAAGAATTAAGGTTCATCTTTTTAAAAAACTACATTTTTACTAATACAAAGATTTTTAAGGCTAACGCTACTATATTTTACTTTATTTTGGTGTTATTTAATCCCCTATTATTCTTATGAAACAAAGAAGTCTTCATTCTAAGAAATGGGTCAATTGTTTGGTCTTCATCACACCATGTCTGAATTTGAGCAGTGCAAAATTCATGTTAACACAACACAGAAACTTCAATAAGTATCATTTTTATTTGCTGATAGGTTGTTTAGGCAGCATATAATCACTCCATCTATGCATACGCAGTTAACAGGTGCACATTTAAGCCTTCATGAATGTTCGCTCATCTCAACCATACATCTAAAAGAAGACCTTTGTGTCAAACTGAAGATGTGATGTCTAACGAATTCGAAGCAAAATTGCGATCAAATGAGCCCGCGTTCTTGTTGTAAACTGCAGATTTTAAACAGTCAACTTCACAAAGCAGATCATCAAATTTATGCAATCAGTAGGACGAACATATGTTTTTACTGCTGTCTGCAGAATCCCAGTTAACAGTTTCATTAAGGAACCGCGAGCTTTCTGGCCTGCCCCGTATAAGCTGTGGGCGAGTGCTGCACAGTGTGACGGAGGCTGACTGTGCTCCACTTAGATGTTAAAGGCCATGTTAACATTTTGAATTCATGTTGTTTTCCCTCAGAAGGAACACATATTGTGCTCACAAACCCAACTGCATAAAACATCCTGGGGTCTTCCACCTCCACACTTTTCTCCGCGAGCCAAAAATATATACTACATTTGGAGGGGAGAAAATTAAATTTCAGAGAGACAAGCAGTGACAGCGTTGGTTTCTTTTCTTATATGGAGGAATCTTCAAGTAGGGAAAAGGGCATTTCTGATATTCTGCTTATTGGTATGTAAATTATATCAGGACTTGTTGTAGATTCAGCCTGAATCTGAATGAGAGAAAAAAGGCTCCCAAAACAGCTGATATTACCACTTGTCTTATTTGTCTCCAAGTTTATCGATTAAGTTTTAGTCATATAACTTTTCAGGGGCTTTTTTCTGCCCAAAAACTGAAAACAGCAGTAAAGATTAATGAGATTCCAAACATTACTGAACATTTTCAACATGCTGTCATTTTTTATTTCTACTAAATCAGAACAGCAGTCGTCTCAAGATGTAAGGTAAAGACTCTGCAGTAATACGGAAAACCCCAACAATCAAATGACCCCTTTGAGCAATGCACTTGTGACAGTGGGGAGAAAAAAACTCCCTTTTAACAGGAAACAAGCTCAGGGAGGCTATCTGTTGCGACTGATTTGGGGTGAGGGGAGAAAGATAACATCACAGGTATAGACATAAACACATTATTTTGCTTTTAAGGCTACGTCCACACTAGCCCGGATAGATTTGAAAACTGCCTTTTCTTCTGAAAACGCTCTGCGTCCACACTAGCGTTTTCAGTCATGTTCACAGAGTTGCGCGTCCACATTGACACGGCCCAAAACGCTTACGTTCCAGTCCTGCGCATGCGCAAAAGCGTGTGAGAATTAAAGAATTTGAAGAAAAGATATCTGGAGCATGTACAAAGTGATATTAATCTTTTTTAGGGCTGTCAAAATTGAAAGCAATCAACACAACTGCTGTATAATGCACTCCGCTATCTTTGTTTAATTGGTCACATGGAAACAAGCTGCATGTCCAAAGACATGCAGCTTGTGGGGATAGGTTATTTGGATAATCCAAATTGCCACTAGGTGTGAATGTGCGAGTGAATGTGAGCGTGAATGGTTGTCTGTCTCTGTGTTGGCCCTGCGACAGACTGGCGACCTGTCCAGGGTGCACCCTGCCTCTCGCCCCATGACAGCTGGGATAGGCTCCAGTGCCCCCGCGACCCTGAAAAGGATAAGCGGAAGCGAGTGGATGGATGGATGGATGGATGTACTGCATCACATGACTAAGTCTGCGTTTTCGAGTGTCCACACTGTGACGGGACAGCTCCGTTTTGAAATGAATGTGTTTTCAAGAACGTTTTCAAAACACTGCGTTTTACCTTGAGGAAAATGCCGTCTGAGTGTGGACGGGAGGCCAAAACGGAGAGAAAACGCATTAGTGTAGACGTAGCCTAAGAATGAAGGACCTGCCAGACATCGTCTGTAAAATAAATAAATAAATAAATAAATGAATGAATGAATAATAACAACAAGAGGGAACAGAGTCCATTTTGCCAAGTGTCTTTTCTCACATCTCCACCACACTCTTCTCTTAAAACTCCACCTTTGTCTTTCTCACTTTGTCACACACACATACACACACTTATTCACACTTCTCTCCACTCCATACTGTTCTAACACCTCTGCGGTTGTGATCTTCATGGCACTTCTATAAATCTGCCTCACTGAGTCGAGCAGCCGTTTGCACCTCACTCACGCTCGCTCCGGATGAGGTGATGAACATGGAGGAGAGCTCTACATCAAAATCATTAGGTGCAAACGGGCACAAGCAACATCTAATGTACAAACGAGCAGTTTAAGCTCAACAACAACACACTAATTGTCATAACAGGCCTCGTTTCGTGTCACGCCAACAGTGAACCAGCGTGGACTCGCTCGTTTTCTTATAACATCCGTGACTCTCCAGCTATGACACGACACAGTGTCATCAGTGAAAAGGCCCTTTGTTTTAAGCTTTTGGTTTTTTAGGGGGGTGGAGGGTGGAATTAGGAGAGAGCGGAAGATGACACAAAGCATTTGAACCCACGCAGTGACTGACCTAACCACTCGGCTATCCGTTCAGCCAGGAAGTTCCAGAGTATTGCTTAAAAAATGTAGAAATTGTTATGCTTTGTTGGTATTTTGTGGTGCAGTTTGTTGCTTTGATGGTGAGATTTATTTACAGCACATTCATTTACAAGACAGAGGGGTGAGAATTTTGAAGCAGCTAAACACACACACAAACATAGATGGGGAATAAATAACAACTCCCCTGAGATGTGCACTTGAAATTGTTTCTTTGTTGGCAATCCAGCTATCACGCTTAAATAATTTCTGTATAAAAGAAAGCAGTTTGACTGATTGGCACATGATGTTTATGGACACTTTTAGAAAGTGATACGTCCTAAATGACAACTCACACCTGCGTGGTGCAATGCACACAAAAATAATTTGCCAACACAGATATTTTTTGGGGAAACAAATATGCATGTTTGTTCCAGTAAAATCTGCATGACTGGCTTCCCTCGTCCCATCGATTTAAATGAGAGCACAGTGAAAACATGTCTGAATGCCGTAGTTCCTAAAAGACTGTGATGTAGGCACATGAAGGAGGTGACGGCAGAGTCACCTCAACGTGGAGGTCCATCAGGCCTCTCTGCCAGTGCAGTGATCCCTCTGGGACTAGAGCAGGGCTTTCTACAGTGTACCTGACTGGAAATAGCCTGTTAAAACGTTTAAGTGCGTGCATGTCTGCACGGTCGGGCAGACGTGATTGTGCACTCAGACGGGACATCCATATCTCTGATTTCTTTTTTTTTTTGGCTGTGTGTGGCCTCTGAGTCGAGCGGCTGGACTCCTTCTAGATGATTCCTCAGCGGGCCGTGAGTGTGTCAGCAACTGTCTGCCATAAATATACTCCACTCTCCACTGGATGGAAGTCAAATACTAATATGACAGGGAGAGAAAGAGGGAGAGGGAGCGAAAAAAATATATGTAGTGAAGGGGACAAGAAGCTGTGCACAAACAGCAGAGGGCTCAAGGACGTTCTCGGCAAAGACGACGTTCATCTGGAGAGCAGCGAGGTGGGAAGTTCAATACACGCATAGACTCATGTTTAAATGCATAAGTGAGGGAGGAAGAGAATAGACCTGTCTGTTAGAGGCACATTAGCATTTTAACCCCTCACACATCACAACACCACACTCCCACTCTGTCAGCAGCTCTAACTCAGTAATCAATCACATTGATGCAACCCATGGAAACACAGGGACTGAGACAGAGCAGGCGAATCCTCTGTAAACATGCTCGGCAATGTCCAAAAATAAAATTTAAAAACTGCGTGATTTCAAGCTACACTGAGGCTTATTTCGCAGCTGGGAACGCAGCCCTTTTTAGCCACTTACTGGGGCTTAACTGAACCTCAGAGGGTGCGATGATAAGCATCTCCTCCACTTTTAACTTCTATCCAATGTTCTCTCTGCGCAGACACCCTGACTGCTCTTACACTGGCTGACAGAAGCAGGTCACTCAGTCAAGTCTGCTGCCAGAAATCCACTGGAACATCCCAACAACCCTCCATCTTCAGAGGCTACAGTTTGGTTTTGATTTTGTTTTTTTAATCAAAACACCCTCAAAGCTACCCTAAGCATGACCTGCACAATTATTAAGTATTTCATGAGCACCACATGTGCACATGCCAGTGAAATTTTAAAGGGGGATGATCAATATGAAAGCTTCATGGGAGTGCAGGTATCTTGGAATAACAGCACTGATCTGGGCTGGCATGCAGCAGTTGTTTGTGTGAAGCATGTCTGTCTGCTCAGACTGTACAGCAGCCAGCAAAGAGAAGAGAGAGAAGAAGAAGAAGAAAAAAAACATTTGATCCACAGCGAAGGCCTCGCGTCCTCGACCAAAAAAAGGAGAAAACCGCAGGCTGTGGCATCAAGCCTAAACGGACACACCCCCTCCAGCCTGGAGGCATCGAACCAGCGATAAACAGACCGCGGCTGCTCCTGGCTGCGATGTAATCATTATAGTTGCTGATCCTGGTGGACTGAGCCCTTCATTACGGCTCGTAATTGTATTTCAGCAACAAAACAGGCCTGCAGCCTAGCAAAGGTCCGTGTTTACACCGGCTTCTCGCTTTAATGCAGACTGACAGATGACTGCACGAATGACATCTTAATCAAACCAGCAACACTCATTTACACAAACACGCCACACACGCACGCCTCTCCGCGGATCCGCGCTCCTGGCCCCTCTCCCGTCCAGCGCATATCTCACCTTGCTTGACACATTTGAAGCGGACCGGGTCTTTGCAGTGTTTGATCACGGCCAGCACGTCCCGGGTAGTGAGCCCGGCTACTGGCATGTCGTTGACCTCCAGCAGCAGTTCATCCTGGGCCAGTTTGCCGCTCTGGATCAGCCCCTTCCCCTGCTTCACCTCGCCGAAGTAGGGGAACTGGCCGTTCTCCGCGCCCCCCTTCAGCTCGAACCCCAGCTCGCCTTCTTTCCCCCGGGTTATCACCGCTTCGTGGACTTTGTTGGTCCAGTGGTTTTTCTTCTTGAGGCTCTTCGACATCGTTAGGGCGAGTTAATCACCGCGGGCTAGCCCCTGCAAAAGCCTCCTACCGTCTCATCTCTGCCTTTTGTGCGAGCGGCTGCAGCTTCACGGCGCTCGTGGCTCCATCATCACCGGTGCACGCTGGCGCAGTGTCCGCTCTGCGAGCCGCGCAGTCGGGCAGAGAGCTGCAGTACAGCACGGCAGCGGACTGAAATAATTATCACTCTGTCAGACACACAGACGTAAGAGACAGATCCTGGCGGATGACCCGGATGTGAAGCCTGAAGGAGGGGAGAGATGAATGGTTCTGGTTCGGCGTAAAGGGATGGAGAGGAGGGGAAATAGCACAGGAGGCGCTTCACTCTTACTACACTGCCAGGGGAGCTTCCTCGGGCTCACTATAATCGCACACATGTAGGACGAAATATGGTACGCTGCGTGATAGCCTGTATAAACTTGCTCACGCGCAATTTACACGCAAGTGCGTTTGGGGAGTGTGAGAAACAGCAGGTTTCGCGCTGCAAAATTCATATATCTGTGGACTTTGCCAGAATATTCCCTTTCTAAAAAAACATGCAACAAGCTTGTAAAGACTACCCAAAGGCTGCATTACCACGCGGGACAACACCAGGGACAGCAGGTTCACCGGGATGTGGTGATTTCGAGATTAATGGTTGTTTGTTAACACTAAATACAAAATTTTGTATCTAAAAATTGGAGAGAATTAATAAAAGGCTTTATTTATATATAAGACTTGGGGTAACAAAAGGATTTATTAATGCCGATTTTATTCTGCTAAATAAATATAATATCTACACAGTACGCGGGGAAACCTGCACAGAGGTGTGCCAAACTATGGTTAAACTAATACGCAGTTTAGAGTAAAACTGCTGTAGTTGGTCAGTAACCGCCTCCCTCACACATCCATACAGACACCCTCCCTCGTGCATCAATACCTGGTTCCGACATGCAGGATTGTCCATTACATGAACATACATTCCTAAATATTGCGCTTCAAAAAGCGCTTTTCATCCCTCGTGGATTCATTGTTGGAATTTTGTAATTCATCCACACAGCACATAACAGGTTTATTGCATGGATGGTTGAGCAGAAACAAAAGTTTGTTTTTGTTTTTTTAATGTTTTTTTTTATTTGTTTTTGTTTGTTTAAATGTTATAATGCGAAGAAAAAAGCGTCGCATCCTGACTTGTGTTTTGTTAAAAGTTCGCCATCTCTGTGTTGGTCACAGTTACATAACTATGATGACATAAATCCAAGTTCAACACAAAACGACAAATCCGTTTGTTGCCATTACTTTTTCATGGCTTGCATGACTTTCTGAAAGTGGGTGAAGTAAAGTTGCGTTCAATATTTAATGCATCAGTCAAGAGCTGCTGGTCTGAATCTACTGAGGAGGATGGTCCCTCTTACTGCCACTCTGGATGTGTGTGTGTGTGTGTGTAATGTGAGCATTCTCCCTACAAAACAACATTACTGTACACAGAAAGCAGCCAGTGAATAAAACACAAGGTGCAGTGGACTCTATCTTTACATACTTGGGTTTCTTTTAGCATTCAGGTCATACAGATGTTCAGATGGCCTCTGACACTAATTCTAAGCAGATGATGGAGACTAGATTCATTTTCTCCATCGCATTAGAGAAATATTACTGAATAATCCAAAAAAACTGGCTGGATTAGTAGACTAGACACCCATGGGGGAAATGAATCCCAGTTTTGCTTTTGCTCTGCTCTACTGGTGGACGTCAGAATTGCAGCATCATGAGGCCTCTGGCCTGGACTGAAACTCTTCATTTTCACTCCAACACCAGCTCATTTATTGGGTCTGGTTGCACTAAATTATGAAACCAGCTCACGCTGCCTTCAAAGAGAATACAAATGTGGAGCAGTCTCTTGCTCTGGCGCTCTCTTTGTTACATAAGTTGTATATTTGTGCAGGCAGGATAAATCATACACTAAATTTTTCCCCTGTGCTCATATATCTATATCTGGATCAGAGTTTTTCACTATTTTGGACCTTCTCTTTGTGAACAGAAGTGCGATAGAAGAACAAAGAGAAAAGCCATCAGCTGTCGAAGCTTTGAGCTCGAGCAGCTAAATTTGGAGTCACTTTCGGCAGCTCGTTGGCACTTCAAGATTTTTTTTTTTTTTTTTTACTGACAGGATGCTAAAGTAGAGCAGGAGCTCTCTGTGTCTGTATGGCCACTCGAGAACAATGACACAGCTTCAGCGTTAGGAGGAGGTTGAAGAGGAGGAACACATACGCCTTTTTTTTTTCTTGAGTGTCACTTTGATGCTGATGTTTGCTCCGAATTGTCCAAATAACAGAAGAAAACAGTCGAATTAGCAGTGAATCTGCACCCTGAAGGCATCCATACAGGCCATCTCAGGCGGCCTGTAAACACGTTTGTGGCCGTGTTTATGCATGCTGGGCGGGGGAGGAAGAAGAAAGATACGGATATTACTTTATATCATCATTATAGACAGAAAGTAATGAGCATCCTAAAGCAGACTGCCAACAACAGAAGGCAAAAATACAATAACACGAGGCAGCCTGCGCACTCAGAGGGGGAATTTCAATAGAGCTTATATGGATTTAGTTCACCGCCTCCCTCATTGACTCTGCTTTGTGCATTTGCTATTCGGGGGAAAGAAAAAAAATGCACACTAAGTTGTTTTTATTGCTCAGCGAGGACAGAGGGGGAGAGGGGTCACCTTCACACAGGCACTCGCACACAGTCTCCTCCACTATTTATCACCTTTATTCAATCCACAGATTAAGGGGAAAGGGACCAGGGGTGTCTGCATGCATCTGCAAACATGAGACTGTAACAATATTTGGGACATGCATTTTACACTTTAAAAATTACACATGCACATGACACGATCGCATCTATGAGGAACCCACGGGTGTAGTGGAGCTAAAAATCAGTTTCACACATACTCACAGTCAAACGCAACACACACACACACACAGAATAAGTTAATTAGACTGAATGGCTTTAGGGAATTGGCAACTGAATCACATTTGCTTTTTCTTCGAGCTCACAATGAGATTTAATTATGAAGGGAAACTTGCGATGCCAGATTACACCTGTTAAAAAGAAAAAAAATCCAGACTGAATCCAAACCAAACCAGACAAAGGAGGCTGGAAATTCAGCAGGATTAAGATCATATTAGCTTCTGTGGATCTGTGGTGGTGTCAGTGTCGGCTCGGTGCAGAAATGTTACTCAAAAGCAGAGATTTGAAGCTGCACCAGTTATTTTAGATTAGGTGGTCCTGCAAAGAACCTCTCCTTGGCTTTAGTGGGCTTAATATTTTACATTAAATGCAAGTTTTTTCTTTACGAATCTCACACTGATACTTCCAAGTCTACCAAACTTTATATAAATTGTGCTGGTTATTGCACTCATCTGGTTTTTGATCCCTTTGTGGTCTGCTCCGGCACCCTGTTCCTTCCTTCTCTTTTTCCTTAAACACATACCTTGTTTTTGAGTAAGTTATTCACACCGTTTGATCTCCCCGGGAGGACTTTAGGGATTAGCTAAATGACCCTGCAATTAGCTTTTAAAATCACACAATGCCTCCCCAAAAATAGTTTCCTCTCAGCTAATGCCCTATCATTGTGCTTGAGTGGCGATGGCTTAGCTAAGTCTGCAAGATAGGAGACAGCCTTGGCACTGCTGCTGCTGCCACCCATTTGTGGGATGTTCCTTGCCATCATCTAGCTGTCTATTAAATATATAAATATGGAGAGAGACTGGAATGTGACAGTTGTTCTGATAATCCTTTCACTATCTCTAAACTAATTCCTTTGATCAGCTTGTGAATGCTGGAAATAATTTTGGGCTTCAGTTCTTGCTTTAAATTACCACAGCTTGATAGAAAATCACTTTCTCGCTCTAGTTCAAGATTAATTAGCCCTAATCACGGGGGCTTTCCAGTGGAGATTTTATATGAAGGCCCAATGCATCTTTGTCACAAGCAATCTTTGTTAATTATATCCAAACTGCTGATTAAATTTTTCCCCTTGTCTCCTTTATAACCATCAAGCAGGCATCAGTCTATTAGTTACATGCTGTTACTAACAGCGTACACTAGATGGGCTAGTTGTTGCTTTTATTTTCCTATGCTGAGCTGTTAATATTAGGCTATATTATTTATGTAGCCGTTTCTTTAATGAAACAGACACATTTCTGACAGATTAACTACAATCACAGACTTACTGATCACTGTGCCAAAGATAGCCTAGTATATTTGTAATGGAAGCTGTTTTCTGTAGTATATTCTGTATGTTTTTAAGGCAATAAAAGCCATTAGTAATTTAATTAAATATTGTAGTTTTGTTTATGGATTATGAATGTGAAAAGGTTCAAGATTTGGAAATTAGAAATATCTATAAACTATATGCGCAGCACATCAGTTTCATGCTCCGTGTTGAAACTATGTTAAACTGCATCGTTCTTTTTAAAGAAATACATTTAAATATAAATTGCCCCCTTTTTATGGATTCTTAGTGATTTTGGGAGCATACACAGCTTAAAAATTCAAGGGAACACTCAATCACAGTATAATTTGCTCATATGCTGTATTTATATATTTCTATATATGCTATATTTATACATATATTCATATTTTATTTCCCCCCCCCCCTTTATTTTTTTATTCTAATTGTTATTATTATTTATTGCAACTGGAAACTGAATTTCCTGGAGGAATCCATCCATCTGTTCTGAGTCTTGGACTTTCTAGTTCAGTTTATTGTAATATTCTTTGTGATCCCTGGTTTGTTTAATGTTTATACTTACATTGTGTATTCTTTGATATATTTAGCTTTGTTCCTGGTTCACAGTTGTTTTAGAATTTGGTTTTTCCATCAGCCACATCCTGTCTGCATTTGGATAGTGACACAAAGTCAGTTAAACTTCAGTCTATCCAGTTGAGAAGAAACCACCGACAGGTACATTGCTGAAGCAAAAACAAGACAACCCTCAAAAAGGAAGTGGCTCAGCAGATGACGAGGTACTCATTTCTCTCTGCTTCAGGGGTATGGAGAGAAATGGGCCTCGAAAGGGTTGCAAATGTATAGGATATGATCCACAAGGGTAAACAAAGATTTACAAATGTGTACAATGATTTGTGTGTGCGTTAATCCACACGCTATACAAAGCAGTTTCTCCACGTAAAACTATTTTACAAATGCGTACATTCAAAGCTGAATAAATACTGATCATTTACGCATAATTTATTACGTTCAGTTCACGAATCCGATCATTTTGACTTTCGAAAACCTTTCTGTGCGTACAAACGTCTAAAACTAAACGTAGCATCTCCCCCTCGCTTTAAAACCTTAAATACGTGTGCACG